GGTAATACTGGGCCAGAGAAAACAAATCTTCAATGTCCTCGGAATCCAGGTGAGAAGGAGACGCTTCCAGCATTTCTGTGACAAAGAAAGCCTTTTTAACATCTCGAACAAACCCACAAATAAAATGCCAGCAAGTCAAACTTACTGATGATGTCCTCTTTGCTGTCTCCCTCTTGTGTCAGGATGGCCTCTCTAAGGGTTAATCAAACAAAGACAAGTCAAATATACGTTGCAGTTTCCTTGGTGTGGTCACGTTTCTCTGTAACCAGCGGCTGCCTACTTGGCATTGACGAGGATGATGAGCAGGAGGAAGAAGATGAGGAAGGGGTCAGCCTGCTGGAGGTAGAAGTCCCACAAGGCCTGGGTAACTTCAGGAAGGCAGTGGCTGGAAAACAGACTGCCCAGCTATGGAGGAAACATAAACACAGACACATACAGTGGTTCAGACGTGGCCACATATCTATTACCTGTTGGGCAATAACATGTCAGCTGAGACTGTGAAGAAAGAAACATATACCCAGTTGATGGCATAGGAGTCAGGTGTGATCTTTTTGGTGTCCAAGAAGGAGCAGAGCTCTGGCTCATGGTACTGCAGCAGTAGTCTGTACAGGTGGAAGGGTCGGCCGTTTGGCACACAGTCTCTGAAATAGACATAATTTGACACCCTTTACATTTCAAGTCTCCATTTCCTGTCCTATTTTCGTGAGAGGTGCGTGAAGGCTGATGAGAACAGTGCTCCGACAGCTAACCTGGGGATGTATTTGTTCATGATAGCGTAGAAGCAGTTGTAGAGGTCGCTGCGGGGAAGCTGAAGCCCCAGTAGTGGTTTGAGCAGGTGCGGCCAGCTCAGCTCCGGAGTGAAGGAAATGTTGCGGGACTTACAGTAAAAAGTGATGACCGACTCAACATCAGACACCATGTCTCGCCTCTCTTCCTCGGACACTCCGAGCTGGTCTAAACATGGGAACCAAAGCAGGAAGTGTCAGTAGCCCTTTTTCTAGAAACATTCTGTACAAATGCAGCCATCTATATTTGGTGTTCAAAAACAAGAAGCAAAGAAATGTAGAAGGTACAAAAGGAAGGACAAAGAAACCTGATCACTATGACAATCCTGATAGGCTATTATTAAATAATACATGAAAAGAGCACTTTTTCTGTATGCCTAGCTTTTCTGGGAATCACTCTCACAAGAGGCTTTCAATTTTGGAGCTCTAGCAGAGCTTGTAGTCAGCCTGTCAGAAGTGCAGACTAACAAACGTCATTTGTTCCTCTGAAATCGACTTTAGATGCTGGCAGACGCTGTGAGTGAGGCCAAAAATTAACATAAACCGTTTTTTTTCTCCCCTGCTGCTTCCAGGTTGTGCGTGTCCGGTCTACTGCCTCAACTTAAGACGCACACAAACTCGCCAAAAGGTGCTGGAAAGTCTATCTGAGGGTGTTTTTTGGTATCTAAGTTAAGGATACTTCGTGTTGCTGTTTGATGGTGTTCCTTTCATGTTTTCTGTTCAGACAGCCTACTAGTTTGAAGGGTGGATGGAATATTAATTACATGTAGCATTAAGAGTACTCCACCAATTTAATGTTGCTCTCCTACGACGGTTACAAAAAAAACAAAAAAAGGTTAAAAAATTGTTGCATGATGGGTCAGGGAGATTTTTATTCCACTCATTCTTCTTCCTTGTCAAAATCTGGTGCCTACATTATCCACAATGCAACGTAATCGCTGACAGTTGGTGGGAGATTGAGGTGCGTTTTGCTAGTAGCGACTAATATAGCCCCTGGCCTCAAGCAGAAGTGAGTAGTGGGCTACAGAATTCTGGTAAGCTCACTTCTCTCTAACTCTACCCCCACAGATTATTTTCATTTCCAAACTTCAGTAGTCTTCAGCCTGACTAATCCTCTTTTGATAATCCAACAACCTGAAAATCTTGGCTCAATAATTATTGTATTATTATTACTATTCTGCCTCTTTTAATTCAGTTATTCCAAAACCCAGGATTGTGTCATTAAATTTACTCACCGATCAGCTGTTCACTGCGGTTGTGAATGAGGGTCTGTTCTGGTAAATCGAGGACGCCGTCCCAGGGAGAAAGGCTGTCTCCTTTTCCGGAGACATTTAGAGCAATCTGCCATCACAAAACGGGGAATCACTGTTAAACATGCAACTACTGATTGATAAACACATGACAAAGACAGAGACTGATCTGCAATCAATGACTCAACTGCAGCTCCACTAATAAAACAACTAATCTACAGAGATGTAGCTGTATGGCTCCACATCATTAACTTGTGATATTACAGGATGATAAAGACCATCTAAGAATTGTTTTTGCTGCCTAGTATTTTCCTTTAAAATGGATCCCTGTGTCTATTTATCTCATACAATTTAACAAATCTATCGAGCATGACTGCTCCATGAATCCTATGTTGCATAGTCTAAAGGGAAAAAGCTGATCCACATAATTAAAAATATGTTGTAGGTATGTGGCTTTAAACAGAACTGAACCTATAACTGTTGGTGTGTCATAAAGAAGTGATAGCCTGTCTTTCCAGTCTGTTGACTTGTGTCTGATGAGAGTAATTCCTGCCTTTGTCGAATGTGTACTCTAATAATAGAATCATTAATGACCTCAGGCACATAAACAATATCTTGTACATTGCTAATAATTAACTTTTAAAATGAAATGTTTTAAACCTCATTAACAGGTTATAAATCAAAACTGCTTTTTTTAATAGGCAGTTAATTTTCGCATGTGTGGACTGACTCCTGTCATCAGCTGTCAATCTCACCTTCCACATCTTGGCCCTGTGTTGAGCCGAATGCTCCTGGACCTGGACGATGCCTCTCTCCATCTCCATGTCAGAGCCAGAGTCCAGCGCCTCAGCTAGATCCTGGTCCCTGAAGAAGCACACACAGTGGAAATAAAATACAAGTTAACAGATTAACCAGTATAAATGCTCATAAAAGTTAATGTTTACTATATAACAAAGATAAGATTTCTTACATGTGACATGTATTAATAGTTCACACAATGTTGTTAAGTCATTGCAGAAAATTGCCGGCCAATGTATGAATGTTTATGAATCATCACCCCTCCCTGTAATAACTTATTTTGCTGTGCTGACACGATGAGTGGCTTAAAGAATGAATTAACATCAATAATTTGAGTCACCTCTCTGCCATCCCTTTGGTCCCTGGCGAAAGCACTTGTACACCCGATTTACATTATATAAACAAAAACTGTATTGATAGTGGTAAATGAATTTAATCAGTAATAATTAGTTACATCACATTACATCATATAAATTCCCACTGCAAATAAATTACTTTTAAGACTGGGAGTCGATCATTTCGCTTATTTTTTTCAGTATTATCCAGTGAAATGTTTTTAACATCAGCTGGACCATTTAACAGGTGATCCTCCACTCCAGGCAGAGATCACGACACATAAAGATATGGGAATCTTTTTATGATGATAGTTACTCATCTTCAGATCGCCCAGCCCAGTCCTAACAAGTCCAATAACATCACTTGACTGACAACTTCACGATTACTTTAATCATGTAAAGTTAATAAGGTAATATCTGAGTTTGTCATATTACATGAGAGGGACAAACTGGAGCTAGGTCTAGGATTAAGCTTCTGTTTAAAGGGAAGCACAACTCGACAGACACCGGCTATAGCTAGCTATTGTTAGCATACTGGCTAACAAGCTTTGCCTATCAACTTGCCCATGCGAGAAAGAAAGTGATGGAAATATAAATACATTGATGGATCTTTCTCAAAAGCGTTTCAGTAATTTGTGTCCGTCTTACTGACTGATCTGCTCATTTATCCGAACCGACTTGGCTAACGTTAATTGACATTAGCTGGCTAGCCGCCGAGCACTAACGGTAACGAACTGGTTTCAGACCAGCATCCATCGTCAGCAGAACAGATTAATAATGTCAACTCATCTTTAGTTACTAAACATCACATCCTGTCAGATGAAGCCGACACGATTGTTTGACAGTTAAATAAACATCTCTTATAATGTTAGTCCGATAACTAATTGTCTCACCAGCTGCTGTGAAGAGCTTCCTCCACGGTGTCCGCCATTGTTGTGTTGACGGAGACACGTCAAATGCCGTCAACACTTTCGATGTGTCGCGCGGCGGTGCCATTGATTCATCAAAGATTAGAGTGATATTTGTTGCAAGTTGTAGTTATAACACATATGATGAAATAAACGGATGTTACGGTCAAAAAGGCTAAAATCTTTTAATGAGCCCGTAGATGCTGATGGGATTAAGACAGAGACTGTTCATACCAACCATTGTTGTTATCACACTCTACTCTTATCAACACCAACAGTCTCCTACAGGCAATGTGATTAAACTGCATTCTTTCATCTTCTGAATATGTGCTTGGGGGTTTATATTTTACTTTTTTAACTTTTGGTTTTGGGATGCAGAGGCCAAAAGAAGCCAGCAGCAACTTATGCTGACTTAGTGGTCTGGGTGTTGTTGAAATCTTTTACAGTTAATTGGGCTGTTTTATTAGTCACACCTGTGCTTTTACTACTGTAACATGTCAAAAGTACTTTTATTATATTACACATAGGTTTACTTGTCAAAAACGACATGAGAGACTAATATAAAGCTAAACTGTATAGCTGTTTCAATGTTGTGTATACACTGTGATGGTTCAGTTTTATGATTTCATTTTATCTACCAGACAAGTACATGTATAAAGCCTCAAAAACACACAAAAAGCAAAATATATACGGATAAAAATCGTAAGTTGGAACTCTCGTTGTTGGCAGCATGTCTACATATAAGTCTGAACTGCCGCTGTTCATTTGCTTTCCTAAGGCTGGAACAGGTTAGCATGTATAAAACTGGTCTGATTGCTCAACATTAACAAGATGTGAGCCTGTGGGGACAGAATTGTCAGTGTGTTCAAATTAAGATGCAGAACATAAGGTTGTGCACACTAAAAGAAACTTGCAAAGGTGAAATTCATTCCAGGAATTATAACTTTATTAGGATTCATTCTCTTTCACTTTGGTCACTACATATCATGGATGAATAATGTGTAATTTCTATCAAACAGCCAGGGTTAGCTCTGTTTGACTGTGTAAGTTTAAGAAAGATGACTTTTGATGAGCTGTAGCTGGAATGCATAATTTGGTTCCTTGGTATTACCCCATTTAATAAAATGTAGCCGTTACTGCTGCTAGATGAATGAATGTCACAACACAAAATATTTGAATTTGGTTTTCTCAAATTTGACATTCGGCAGTGGCGCCTAATTTTATCTTATTTTAAGTAAGTATGGATGCTACTTGAGAACCAAATCACACACTGTACCAAGAGATTCTCAGGCTTACACGTAGGTTAGAAACAATAAGGCTTGGGTTGTGAGAATATATTTTGAAAAGGAGAGAAAAAATTAAACCAGTCTTGGTGTTACTCTGTCAAAAGATAAGACCAAATGTATCATGAAAAAGAAAAATTTTACAATAAAATAGAAAATAAATCATGTTTCTCTCAATAAAGTGAGCTAGGAAAAACCACTTATCCAATCCCTTGTGACATCTTCTGACACTAGAGGCAATTCAAAAATAACGTTCTCAAAAAACTAAAGATATAAAGTTGGTTAAGTCTTTCTAATCTAAAGTGTTTTGCCCAAAGCCTCTTATAGTTGGGATTTCCTAGTGTTCAAGACAGCACAAGCATTGCATTTACATTTATAAAGTGAACATGCTGCAATAAGTATATAAAAAAACAACAGGCAATCCCATAAAAAAAAAAAACACTTCAGATGCTAAACTAACCTCTGTTGCACCGAGTCCATGGGATCAATTCCAGCATTACAAACACAGACATTACACATGTAACTACAATTTTAATCTTGCATTCGGAACCGATAATGTATGTTACAATATGAAAGTAACTGGACAAAACCACTTTAGATCAGCATATATTAACAAGTGAACAGTCCATTAGAACTACATAAAGCTCTCACAGTATTTTCTGTAGATTTAAAACTGTCACAAAAGCCTTTAAGTCAGTAATTGGTTCAACAGACTGCGCACATTTCAATTCTCTTACATTGTACATAGTTACTATTAATTCAGACAGGCATACATGGCCATCCATGTATGTTTTTCTCTCTAGATGACACAATCTCTCTCTTTATTCTGAGAAACAAAAAGGTTTCACGATGATGTTTTGGTTGAATTAAGTGTAATCAAAGGGCTGCACTGGATAAGACCCCCTATCCAACTTCATACTCTTGCAACCACCGAGTCAACAAGAGGCCTGGATCACAGACTCGGCTCGATTGTGAATAGAAATCCTTCTTTCCGCGATAACAAAACCCTTTTAATGTGATGTCCACCTGGTATATCATTTCAGGGCTCTTCCTTTTTTCACCCCCCTCTTTCTCATATCATCCAGTACGCATTCTTTTTTTTCTTTTTATAAATCAAAGTTAAGTCAGACAGTTGCACTTTTAACACATTTAGGTTGAGCAATGAAAAGATTGGCGATCAATTGGCGGAGAAGTTACAGTGTCGGAGGTTTCAGCCCGTATTTCCTTGCCACTTCTGTCTGGGCGTATGCTGCGTCACATAATGAGTACAAATGGGCCATCTCCATCTCTGACTTGGCTAGGTTAATGGCCTTGTTGAACATTTCTATTGCCTTGTCCAGATTGCCCCTGAAAGGAAAGTTCTCTGGTTATTCCAAGCACTTCAAGAAGTCCAATAATGCTATTGATTTTAACCTTCCCTGCAAGTCCTATAATGTGTGGATTAAGTCAAATTGTCAAACTCACCTTTGAACTTCAATGGTTCCCATTGTTTCATAGGCAAAGTCACATTTGTTGTCAATTTCAATGGCCTTACTGATGAGATCTAGCCCCAGGTCAAGGTCTTGTTTCCACTGAAGCTGTAACAAACTGGACATATATTGAACATTTAACACCAGATGACTAATTTACACATGTTAATTTAACAATATGCCTACACAGAGAAAAAATGCCTACCCCTTGTGGACATATGTAGTAGCATTGTCTGGTTCCAGTTCAATACACTTGTCATACATCTCGTCTGCTTTTCCAAACTGCTGCTGATCAGTCAAAGCCTGAAAAATCCAGTTATGTTGAACGTGTTGAACACATCAACAAGGCCTATAGCAAATGAGTACTAAAGCACCCACTGATGTGTAAATATAAAATCTGGCTTCTGATTCTGTACCTGAGCATAAAGAGCGTAGCCCTCTGCACACTTGGGGAACCTTCTGATAACGTCCTCAAAGCCGTCCATGGCTGTCTGTACTTGTGACGGGTTGTTTCCAGTATATGCTTGTCTGTACTGAAAGAAAAAGACACAAAGGAAACTCAACAGCTGATAATGCTGTGGGCAGCAGGACCAATTCAAATAAAAATTCAGTTTATTTATCAGATAGATCCAATTATCTTTTATTGATTACTTACAAGAGCAAAGCATTTCTGTGCCTGGGCCAGAGCAGAGTCAGGTCTGAGGAGGATGCACTCATCAAAGTCTCCCACTGCCTCGTCCACCTGGTCCAACAGGATTTTCAGCTGAAAGGAAACCAAGAGCAAACTTATGACGAGGCATCACAATGTGTGTCCAACATTGTCTTCAACTGACAGCCAAGCAATCATCAAACTGATGTTGAAGAAACCAATTCAACCACATTCCTACCTGACCCCTGTGGTGATAGACATCAGGGTTGCGTGTGTCAATCTCGGCTGCCATGTTGAAATCTTGTGTAGAGAGCATAGGCTGCTGCTGCTGCATGTACATGCTTCCACGCTTGATCAAAGCATTGGCTCGTAGCTGTAAAAATTAGACGATGGTACAGAGACAACCTGTCATGTTGGAGCTTTCTAATAAACAGTGAGAAAAAGGCTTGCATTGAAGTCAAGATTGGTTCAGTGTTTGCGCTGGACAATGCATCATCCACATATTGGTTTGATTCAGGATCAGTAATCTTACTAATCCACTATCCCAGTAGTGAAATTGCCTGGATATTCTCAACTAACAACAGACTTTATAAAAGAAACATCTGGTACCTTCACATTGGCGTCTTGCATGTTGATCACCCGGTCCAAATCAGGTTGAGCAGCAGTAGCGTTACCTATCAGCAGGTAGAAAGTGGCACGCAGCAGGAGCGCCTCTGCAGTGTATCGGCCGCCTGACTCAACCTCCTTGGTGCATTCACTGATGATTTTGTCATAGTTCTCCTCCTCCATGTACTGCTTTGCCTTCAGGTAGCCAGAGCTAAAGGAGGTGTATGATGGAGATGAGGAGGTGTTGATCTAAGGAGGAGCCGCTGTTTCTCTTGCACTAACTTTCTATGCTTAATAGGGCTGAACGATTAATTGCATTTGCGATATTATCACGATGTGATAAAACGAGATTTTCTAATCGCCAAGGCTGCGATTACACTCTGGTCACATGATACCCACGAGTAAAGCAGTCTGCAAAGTAGGGATGAAACGATTACCGGTTTAAAGGTAAACCATGGTAAAATTCTCGACGATTATTACTGTACACATTTTAATTACCACGATATCTGGATATGGTTAACAACACTAATCTGCATTTCCTGCATTTCTAGAAACTGACTGCTCTGTATTTATGTCAGTTTTTGGGCTCATTGCAGTTACCATCACTGTCTTCTAAAGACCTGACTTGTTTTCATGTAATTGTCCACAGGGTCATTGTATTACCTATATAATATAAAATCTTAAATGCACACTGATGATTTTCATGTGTTTACAAAATGTGTTTGCTGTTAATTTATTTTTTATGCAAACAAAATGGCAATTGTATTTGTAGTTTTAATGCAAAATCAAACAAAGGTGAGTGGGGCCGAAGGGCCTCCGCTCAGACTAGCTTGGTTTGAAGGAGTGCCTGACTCCAGTAAGCCGCTTGGCAAGCTTTATGATGTGTTTTCATTGTGATGTCACAAGTAAAGGAAGTGAAGGGCTGGACTACAAACGAGCTGTTTTCAAGCGGTTCAGAGCAGAGTTTTCTGTGGGAGATGGGAACTCCCTTTGGGCTGGACTTTGGGCTTTTTCACTTTGCACACCTATTACATGCAGAAAAAAGATACATAACTCAATAAAGAGGGGGGAAAAGCCAAAAAGCAGAATACCACCTCTTTAATATTTTTCTGCACATTTTTACAATACCATGATAATACTGATAACCGTGATAAATTTGGTCACTATAATCGTGATATGAAATTTTCATCCCTTTTCATCCCTACTGCAGAGGAAGCATCAATTTCGCACGTTACGCTGTACCTTGACTTGTTGTTGTACAATGGCCTTAAGCTTGACAGAAGCTGACACTACAGACATTTTAGTGTCACACAGGGAATGAAAGTAGCACCACCACCGCAGGTAACGTGGTGGTGGGTGAAATGCACGTGTAGTAAAGTAAGCGTATTGTGCTGATCAGTGCCTGTGTCACACACACAGCCAGCAGTCAGCTCAGAAAATATCTGTGAAATGGCGTTTCAAACCAAACTCACATGTCCGAAAGAGGCCCAGTCTGTCCCGAGTTACAGCCAGTGCGCTGCTTTCTATCATCGGAGGCTGCGGGGGAACTCCGGTGTTGTCGGAGAATTTCTAAGCTTGTCTATTAAACACAAGAGGCGTCTGTTGGTAGGCCGACCTGATATTATACAGTATAATGTTATTTAATGCCATGACTTGACTCTCAAATGATCTTTCTCATATTATTATAATTTGATAATTCTTCTCCACCATTGCTCATAATAATTCATGCATCACCTAATTTCATCATAACACAGGCCTGACCCACAAAAAAGAACAATGAATGTGTAATCTATCCAATACTGTGTTGGTCATACTTTACACTGATTTACTGCTTCTCAGTTTTGAATAATATCGAAGGTAAAGAGCTTAAAAATTATTCGCATATTAAATCGCAATATTGGTAAGAAAATAGATTTTCCAAAATCGTTCAGCCCTAATTTTTTCTTCTTCTACAGTATATGACACACAGACATTTTTTCTACCATTAAGCTTACTTTCAGTTCAGCATTTGACAGCCACTGTCCTGCTTGTCAGGAAGTGAAAGTGCAAAGGCCACATGAATGTTAAAACCTGTCAATGTTCAAGGTACATTTATTCATTCTACAACACAAAGTTGCACAATGAACAAATCAAGTCAACACAGGGGCAAAGATCCCTCTGAACAATGCCAGCAGCTCCTCTGTCGCTCCTAGTAAAACCTGAGTGCACAAAGTAAGTTGATACTGGGCTCCCACTGACCTCCCAGTGACCTCCGCTGCCTCGCCCTCCTTGTCCTTGTCTTCATCTTTCTTCTCCCCCTTCTGCAGAGGCTGCGAGATTATGTCATCAGTGAACGAGCTAAAGTAGGATTTGATGAACTGAGGAGAAGGCATCATCGGTTCACGGTTCTACAGAAGAGAGATTCAAAAATAAAGATAGTTTAATTTGACAATTCAGAGAAATTAAATTGAAACAAAACTCTCTAAAAGTGGATAAATACCTTGTATTTCTCTTTGGCCTTCTCTTTTCCCAGCTGCTTCAGCACCTTGTCTGCTAGCAGCATGCTCTGTTGGTTCTGGAAAGCCTCAAGAATACACACCGCTGTGACATCTGGAGGACACACAGAGAACAAAACCAGCTGTAAATAAAAGTGTCACACATTTTAAGTTCCACTTGTACAGTTTTTAGAAGCGAAAAGAGTATCTCACCCTCTAGGCACTCCTTCTTGTTGTCTAGTTTTTCCAGAGCTTTAGCCCTCCTGAACAGAGCCTTGACATAGCGTGGATTCAGTTCCACGGCCTGAGAGCAGTCTTGTACCACTTCTGTCCATTTCATCTGAAATAATAGTTAAAGGCTGGTTATCTTCCAAAACATGTCTACATCTGAATATTCAGGGGTCCATAGGGTCTGCCCAATACCCAGAGAAGGCTTACAGGTACAATGGAGACACAGGCCTGTATGTTTTGAAGTGGACCCAAGTGATCCATTTGTCAATGATGTCTGACAAAACATAAAACTAATCTTTAAAAGGCAGAATGAGAAGAAACAGAGAGAGAGCCAGCCAAGGTAGTCAAGTGAGCTAGAGTGTGAAGGAAGCGAGGGAGAGGCCTTAGCGAGAACAGCAGTTAATCAGAGAAATAAAAAAAAATAAAAAATCTTCTGATCCTTTCACAGGCGGCTACGTTCTAAAGCACAAATAAAAACAGCCATACAATCCTGTGGGAAGGAGCCTTTATACATCCATGACACAGAGAGAGCAGAGCAAAGAGATGGAGACAACATTGTACGTTTTTATATAATTCAGGGGTCTCATTTATAAACGGTGCGTATTTACAAAACAAGGCTGGAAATGTGCATACACCACTTCCCAAGCAAAGGTTGTCATCTATAAAAAACTAATTTGATGGGTAAATGTGCTGTCCTGTAAGTAAACTCTGAACCATACGTACACACATAAAGAGGAGAAAAGAGAAACGGCGACTCACATGGCAGAAGGATGAAACTGTTTGAAATGAATAGGCCTACTACTGTGTAAAATAAAGTGAAATATTACCTCTGAGTATTGCAGGCTTAAAGCCTTTCTGAATTAAAAAAAGAAACAAATAAACTTGTATGATTAATTTTCCTTGATATGGGCAAAGATTAAAATCATTTCCAGCGTGCACAAAAAGAACCAGATTTACGATAATAAACACAGAGATAAGTTACTGCAAAAGAATGCCTCAAATATTTGTACAGTTGAATCATATTAATTAATACTTGCATGCAGTGCAACTTATTCTCATAAATAAGGTGAACAAGAAGACAAATTACATTTAAATTGATGCAGTTTTCAATGAGTCAGATGAGCAAATACGAGAGCATAGTTTTATGTATCGTTATCACATGTAACGGACTTATCGAGCCAAACGCTGTGCGCCAGCGTGTGGATGTGATGCGCTGCTTGTAAAAACAAATTATGGAAAATATAACACTATTTTATTAAAGAAACCTTGCAATGTGTGTCATATTTCTTTTAACTCATCAGCAGCCTCGTTAAGTGAGTGGACTGTTTGTGTAGCCTATATAAATGTTTAAACACCAGTGGAATACCACCGAACAGCTTCAGCTTCACCAAAAGGAACGTCAGTGTCACATTAAGTTAAATTTTGTTTTGTAGCTTTTCTGTCAGAATTTGCCATCCTTTTCTTCATGCAGTCAGTACGTATTAATATTAATGAGGGGTGTTTCACTGACCATTTGTAGGCAACTATGGGCGTTTGGAGCTCCCTCACATGCGCCACATTTCAAGTTGATAGTGATTTATAAAGAGAACTTGCTTTACTTTAAGTGAGGATTCTACGCACAGTTTTATAAATGAGACCCCAGACCTCACACTCTGCGCACTGTTATTGGCTGGGGGCCACACACCCTGCGCACTGCCCAAAGGTTAATGCTCAGAAATGTCTGCGAGATACAGACACCGTCACACACTTCTAGTGGGTTGTAAGTTATGACTGAGAGGGATTTTGTTTGTATGAGTCTATACATTGTTTTTTAGGGAAATCCTACTCATTATGCCTTTAAAAACACACCTGGCCAACAGCAGCCTAAAAGGGAGAAGAACATAAAGCATTTCTTCAATGACAAAACAAGTCTAAATGGCTAAAACACCACCAGCATTAATCAAAGTTTCAAAGCTTTTAGTTGGAGAGCTTATGTGAGCAGAAGACCTTGTGAGGTTCTGTCAGGTAACCCTTCAGTCAAACACATGGGTGGAAAGATTAAATGTTGGTGATTTGCACAGAATCTGCTTCACATTCACCAAAGAGGAGTAACCACTGTTTTCTCCAGAGGCATGCCATCTAAAGAAGGAGGAGAAGGAGGACGCTCCACTGAAGCCATTTGCGGCATATTTTAAGTTCAATGAAGAGCATTGACCTAAATGGCTTTCCATCTACAAGCACCTAAACCCCATTAATATCTCTGGGGACATTTAGAAAAGGGACAAAGTGTCTGTGTCATATACAAGACACATGCAAGGATACTCTGTGGCTACAATGTTGTATAATTTCATCCAAGAACCAATTATCAAATCAATCATTACAGCGAGGGTCGTAATAATAATTCAATGGCATGGGACACAGACATTTACATTGGCAAAGTTATTTGTATATTTTATATTGTTACACACCAGGTGGGTCTTTCATGTTACCAATCTCGGCACAGATTAAAAGAGGGTGGTACCAACCTGCTGTTCGTAGGCTGCAGCTCTGTTCTGGTAAAATGTTGACAAGTCAGTCTTTTGCTCTGTGGGGCAGAGAGCAATGGCTTCTGTGTAGCACTGAATGGCGTTCTCATACTTTCCGGCCTTGAAGTACTTGTTACCCTTGTTCTTTGCTGCTTGTGCCCGATCCAAAGGGCTCTAAATGAGAGAGAGAAAAGGCAACATTTATTGATTAAATGGTCTCCCATGTCACTCAGTTGACTGGTTTAAGAATTGAAGAGCCTAAAGACTGTTTTACTTCAGAATAAGGTATCCCTTATCACCTTACACTGCAAAAGGCTGTGCAAGTGAACTGCACGCATGTGCCAAGGATTAAATGCTGTCAAACTATCTTACTGCTAAGAAGCCATTTCTTAAAACAACTATGCCTACAGACAAACAGATTTCAGGAGAATAACTGTAATGATAAACAGTCACAGATGTGCATAAACTCCAAATCCAAGTTTAGCTTTCCTGAGATAAATGTTTCCAGTGGTGGATAAGGAAGACTATTACATTGGCATGACCACTCACTGCAACAACATACAAACTTGGAACAATTGCAAATGTCTGTTTGGCTCACAGGACCCACAGCTGTAGATCATGCTCTTTTTGCCTTAAAAATTGCTATATCCTGTTTACACAATGCAAACAGGGTCTTTTTTCCACAATGAATGCAGGAGGAATTCAAAACGTTTAGACACAAACATGCCACACCCAAAGACACTTCTCACTGACAATATACCTGTGAGAAGCACTGCCACTTTATTGAGGCTGTGTAAAATGTACGTTATGTCTTTAGTTCAAAATAAAAAACATTTTGGCAGACAGCGCAGTCGCTCTACAAAAAGGTGCATTCTTGGTGCAGGACTGTAATGTTAAATGAACTAATACTAACGTTATTGCTCGTTATCCATGTGTGATACCACAAGTAAATTAGGTGACAGCGACCGACAGCCTGTTATACTAAGTTATCTAATAACACTGCCTCTGCCTACAACAGACTAATTCAAATTACGGTCATCCCTGCCCCACTCGACTTTCCCCCACTCGAGAAAGTAAGGTTAGCTAGTATTCCCCAAAACATTACAAGCAGTTAAAAGACTCCCGTCATATTGTTCCCACTTGCATTTCAGCACACAGGTTACCAGCCGCACTTTTGCATTTATGTCGAACATACTTCCTTTACAGGTGTGAAATGTTGGACACTTATATCCGGCTGGTTAACCTAGCTAAGCTGACTTACCCTGATAACCTGATTTACTTGAATTTCCCTCGGGATAAATAAAGTATATATCTATCTATCTAACGTTAGCCTACGAGGCAGCCTAGCTAGCAATTAATGTTGGCTAATCCACAACCGATGAACCGGCTGCTCTCGGCCTTGCTCTCGTGAAGGTAGCTGTCACTGACAGCAACGTTAGGTGTCCTTGACTGTACTTTAACGGTAATGGCACGTGTGGTCGGGAAGCTGTACGCGCTGCACTAGTGCAAACTATGCTAATATGGGAGAGTAACATTAACATAGGACAGAGGAGTCTTCAGGTAACGGTACCATATTCTCCTGCTCTCGGCTGGCTCGTGTTGCGCCGTCTTGGCCCTGCACGGGGCTTGCGCTGCCTTCTGGTGTTTTCCGCTCCCCGGTCCCTTTCCTTTCCTTCGTCCTGCTGCGATTCCAGAGGTAAAACGCCCCTACTCCCAGCACTATAGGAGTCCCGACTATCAGGGCCAGCTGCCAGCGGGGTAGTCCAGTCCCGGACTGCGGCTCGACTGGCTTTGAAGCAGCCATGATCCACAAACGAGCAGTAGTTAGCTAGCCAGTACCACCAACAGACAGCGTGAGCGACCGCCGCTTCTTCTTCCTGTGCTCTGCGAGGTCATAGACACAGCGAGGGATCATGGGATGCTGGCGGACAAGCCACGGGGCTGCCTGTAGTTGTAGTACGCCAGTGACATTTTGTAGTCCAAACTGCCTTATATATAGATATGTCCATATGATGAGTGGTCCAAGTTATAGAATGAATATGGCCTACAAAGAAACAAGTAGGCCTGTCCTGTCCATGTGGACCATGTACAATGTCAGTTGAAATTATAAGGGACTTATAGGGGCCTTTTACCTAATAGGGGATTTGCAAGTATACAGTGTATATATACATATGTTCAAGTTTGCAAGTTTTCACCTGATTTTCCTGGATTAACAAAGTATTATTTGTCTACAGCAACCAAGCAGCAGTGCAGCTGGCTGTCTCCCCACTCTTGCACTGTACAGAAATAACCACTTGAATTAAACATGCTGTTATGGGTGGTATTATAGTACCACCTATTGGATGTTTAGTAGTAAAACACTTGATGTAAAAGCCAGTAGTCTCCCATCACGTTGTGTCCTCTCCAGTCCCGGTAGTTGATCCGTTCTGTCTGGTAGCCACTAAAGCGTGTTGTCAATTTGTCAACTTGATGTTCTGTCCCTTTGTAACACCAAGAACCCAAACACATGCTCTATGAAAGCCACAGTGACATTAACAGACACAGTGGAAAATGCTTATGGCTGTCTTAAAAAGACAGCTCAGCAATTTAGTCTAATTAGTTTCAATAGTGAAGGCTACTTTCTTTTCAAATTGCGGATGTTTTTCAGCCCCAACACCATTTCTTATCATGTGAGTTTGCTTGTTGTTTGTGTCTTTTCCCAGTTCAGTCTCCACTCTGTCCCATTTCAGAGCTTTGTGTTGGTCTGTCTGGACGGTGCTGGAGCCTGACTACTCAATTTGCGCCCAAGGCCATCTGTCCTCAAACAGTGACCAGCACTAAACAGTTTTCAAAGTCAACTGTATTTAGCTGGTTAGAGGAATCCCTGTGTAACGAAGAGCCCTGTCCTTGCAGCAAAACAGACCTTTGATTGGACAACTCTTCCATCATGAGATGTTCTATAGTTCAACGACTGACAAGTAACCTATTCACACAGTCGGGAACAAATCATTTCATTTTGTGGTATCAAATTAAACAGTAACTTTTCTGTACTCAATAAACACTAACAACAGTTTTTTCCTTTATAATTACTAAATAAAGAATAAAATATATTAAAATAATAGTGTACACTTTGATCTGTCTTGGTTGCGTTGCTTAAAGCATGTTGCTGCCCTCAAAGTAATCCATTCAACATGACACAGTAGCTTGTTTTGAAAAGCCATAAAATCAATTTTGCCAATAAACTACAACACGTGATTAAACTTGTACTGTATATTATGTGTGTTGTGTCTCTCTTCAGTGACCCAGCAGATATTGTTGCTGTGGAAAGGATAAAAGGGCTACTGACAGAGGTCACAATAAGGTTGTCTGATCTTTTATTCCTGACTCTGTGTGTTATTCTTGTAAAAGGTGCCTGCTCTTGTTAGCACAGCCTAGTTTTAGTCTTTGCTCCACTAGATGTTTGGAGAGCTGTGTCCACTGAGACGTGCATGTGCTCCTATAGTGCAGGGAGTTGTTTAGATGAAGGTTCTTTGAAAATGTATAGCCTATCTTTAGAGATCAACTACATAAATACACCAATTGACTCCAGTTACATCATTTAATCAGATTAACCTCAGGTGCTCATGCAGGTATGTTTTATTTACACAGTTTGTTATTTATACAGTATTTTTCACTGGATCAAAGTATTTTTTTAATACTATTTAGCAGTTTTGGAACACACACACACACACACACACACACACATACACTGATGTGAAAGCAAGTTAAATTGGTTGTAGTCTGTTCCTCCAGTCCACAATATAAATTTCACTTCTTTATATTTCAGACGTACAACTCAAACCACTGTGAAAAAAAAAAGATTGATGATGATAGTTACTTTGGCCAATCCCTCTGAATCTGTAATCTGATTACTGAATTACTGTATTATGTACATGGTAGATTTGTATATTCTGGCTATATGTATCCATATATTAAGAGTATTTGTTGTTTGTTTTGTTTGTTTCATTGTTCTCTGTGTTCAGGTGCGACCTTAAATGGCTCCCATCTTTGGAAAAACAGCAGATTACTGTAATCTTTATCTGAGATTACATGGCAAAGCAGCATGAATGTTACATAGCAGTTCCTGCCCAGATTTATCCTCCCCTTGATATGAGATGATTACCAGCATTTTGAACCTTTCAGTTTGGGAAAGAAAATGTTGTTCATGTTCAAGTATAAATTTCATCGACCTAAAGCTGAAAACTTAAGCAAAATATCTTATATTTACGTTGCAGTTTATTTGTCATTGTCAGGTCATATTTGTATGCAAACAAAGTGTTACAATACTTACATAAATGTACAAAATTGAAGGACCACTCAAGTCATTGGAGTGGTGTAACAGTATTTGGTAACTTTAAATAGCTCGTTTGGTCCAGCCTGTTTTTCTTACGTCAGTTTCAGAGCACTCCAGGTACCATAAGACTTCACTATGACGCATTTGCATATTTAGTGTTGGTAATATATTATCTCTTAAATGTATTGAAAGTGTAGAAAAACATCTATTTTATCTGAATCCTAAATTTCTATGCACAATTTACATTCCAATTATAAATTGTTTTTAATATGTGGTACAGATGAAGGCATTGTATTAATTTTGTATTAATCATTGTATTGTATTAAGAGTGAACTAACCACATATGCGCTCTGACGAAGTGGAAAACATCAACTCATTGTCCAGTACAACTTCATATAATATGTGCTTATTAATGTTTTGTTTTCAACTTGTGCAAAGGTTTGCTTTTCCAATTGTGTACACACAGTTTTCTCATTTCAGAACTGTATGTGACAATTTTGACCTCTGAAAATAAAGACAAGAAAAAAGTAAATATAATTCAGTAGTACTCAGTGTAATATGAAAGGATATGCTTCCTCCCCGTCCTGTATTACACAAGCCACCAGCTCACAGCATTCAGCAGTGGACAGGATAGCCTGCACTCCATAATTATTGACAGGTTTGATGTACTCAGTGAGTGGAAAGTATGGGGAAATTGGAGTTTCAGTTGTTTACCCCCAGGCCCATGACTGTAATGGAAAAATTAAAAGCAGTGGTCACATCACGAACCCAGTGCCAAAATACTGTTCCTGTCAGACTCCCGCCTTTCTGTTTGTTTCTCATTACCTCCATTTTTACTTTCTCCCAGGAACGTCGAATAGATTATAAAGGATTCACTTATTTAAAGGCTACAGCAAAAGCTCTGCAGTTTATTTTTGGATCATCCAAGAATAAAACAGCCACAGCAGGAGTTGTTGAGGCTACAGAGGGATCTAATTAAAGTATGTTAACTTAGCCTTGTGGGACAGTGCTGTGCACTAGAGCAGCCAGTCAGTCAGAGGCTTAGTAGGTCAGCTCAGTTTTGTCTATACCCTCTGTGGCACACGGCTGGGATCACACGTTCATCTGTTGTACTGGGACTTGCTGCACAACTCCATCATGTCTCTCAGACTCCTACCTGCTTTCATTACGGATAATGATGAAGATGACGATGGTAACTTCACAAAATGGATGAGCAGTTACTGGGGTCACGGAGCAGAAGCTGGACACTCCAGAGACAGAAAACGCAGTTTCAGAAGACCTTCAAAAACACAAGTTGATCGAAGAGCATCACTCCCGACTGTGGTAAGGACCAGCAGCCTTTAGTGGATGCATGCGTGAGACTTTGTTCAGTTGACATATAAACAGCAGCCACACACTTTTAACAAAATGCCCATGTCTGACCACAGCACAAGAAGTTTTCTTTAACGGATGTAAACTTTTTAATGCTACTACCTTTACAAATAAATTAACAAATAATTACTTTATGCAACTAAATGAATCAAAATCCAATATGTCAAGGTGAAAATTTGACAAAAGTTATGTATAGTATATGTACAAGTGATAGTACAAGTAATAAGTTTGAAAAAGAAAGAAAAGTTTGATCGTATTTTGGCACACAACGACATTAGATTAATGCATGTGTATACTCTGCAGACATGGAAAACCCACACGTTGGTATGAGCACTATGCAGGCTATGTTCGTCTGTTGTAGCATTTAGTAATAGTCTGTCCTGACCTGTAATTTGCCTCAATCTATTTAACATAATGTATATCAATGTAATTTATTTATCATCATAAAACACATGTTTGTACAAAGAAATTAAATATGGTACCCCCTCCTCTCCCCCAGCACTTAAACACACAGACATGCACATTTAAATGTGTTGTTTAAAAATAGTGCAGCTCTTGGCAACATGAGTTTATTGAACTTCCTGTGTTGTTATCTGGCAACATGCAAGATTCCAAAATAAAACCCTACAAAGTACAGGATTAGTAATGTTGTGAGTGACTTGTCTTTAATTTCTGTATTACTTTACATCAGTGTAGGCAAACAGCATGCACATGTTTCCTGCCAAAGCATTGATGTCTGTGGAAGTTTTAAAGATATTCCTCAGCATTAATCTCAAACTGAAACAACAATGGGAAATCATATTCTGTTGTTTTTGGTCATGGACAAAGGCATGCAATACCTCTATGGAAAGACATGCGCTCTATGTAACAGTGTGCTTCCTTATTCACTTTTCACTTACCTCCTGTCATAGGGAGGTCAGAGGTCAATGCCACCAAACAGCAGCACACTTGTGGCTCACACATTAGGTACCCAAACCAGTCAAGGAGAATTAAGCAGATCAGATGTTTACCAAAATGTAGACATATGGATGGACAAGCAACAATGAGTGTGTGATTAATTTATGTGTTTCTTTCCATAAAAGCAGTGCTGATGGCATGCTGTCATATGATTAGAGCTGCACTTGTTTACATTTGGAGGTCTTTAGTTGTATTCCTTTGGAACCAAAGACAATCCCCTGAGTTAACTGGCAAGTTATGTGAAACAAAAGCAGCTGAATAGAGAAATGGCGACACATGCTCATATGGATCGGCCTCTTGGTGGTGTCAAACAAAGCACTGAGGCTGCAGCTCAGCTGAAAATTTTAATCATTTTCCAACATGAAAGCCAGTGCCTGCCTCTGCCAACACAGATAATTTGATCCAGAGGAGGAACAAGCCAAATGACTCAACAATTAATATAAGGAGACAGATACTGCATGTACTGTAATCTTTTTAGACACTGATTACAAACTCAAATACATGACACGATAGGCCTCAGACCACTAAGCCTTTTTTGTTCTTAATGATTATTTTACACAGATCTCAACTTTGGCTTGGAGACTCCAAATATATTAAAGAAAATCTGCTTTTCATAGTGAGGAAAGAAGTGGGTGTTTACTAGGAAGGGAGGATTGTAAATAAAATCTGCTATTGAGTTGCAGTGTGGGAAATGTAGGTTCCAGCGTTTGGGATCCTGACCAAAACTAGAGACTAAAAGTGCAATACTATATTGTTGGAGTACCCTTTAATTAATCCTTACTGTTATGACACAGTCATCATCTTGGCACAAAGGCTGTCACTCTCTATTGTTGCTGAATTTATCAGCAGCAGCACTAAGGTTTAGCAGAGAGTGATGAGGGAATACACAACATTAAAGTGTAATAATCTGATTATTGTTGTTGTGTAAATAATCAAGGGACAAACTATAATTAGGTGTATGCATTGACAACATGTTACTTAAGAATATTAGGAGTGATTAACCCCAATCACAGACAAAAGCTTAACATGGTCGTCTGTCTAGCTTAATGCACTCTCAGTTATTATTAGAAATGTGGAAATATTACACTATTGTTTTCCTCTGAGCTGAGATGGAATCATTGTGGGCACATTTTTACACCGTGTAATAGAACTGGCTGTCCTTCTCTGTGTGGTCCCCAGTCACAATTAGATGCCATGAAGTTGAACAGGCTCCATGCAGCGACAATGGCTGCCGCCGGGAGCCACATCAAAAATAGAGAGGATAAGGGGGAGGTCAGGCCCCACCAGAGAGCTCGACGCGCCTCTTCAGACGACAACAGCCGCCCCAAGTCAGCTATCCCAGAGAACCGCATCTCCACTATCCCAGAGCTCACAGAGTCATTCGGGAGGAGACTTTGTCTCCGTGACAAGAAGACCACGGTGAGCAGACGTGTGATAGTTACATAAAATTTACGCAGTTTTTAGAGGTCTTTCTTTACTAGCCATGTGTGTTGCAGATTACCTAGTTAACCGCAGGGTCGATCAAGGTTGGTGCTCTCTATCTTTCCCTAATAGTGTATTATGAAGCTCTTAAAGATTTAAAGATCACTTTAAATCTTTAAGACAGATTAAAAGGTGTATTACCTTAATGTACTGACAGGATCATGAACAGGTTTGAACTGCATGACATGTCCAAAAAGCTCATTGTATAATTCAGCTGTATCTTTTGTAATAAGATATTTCACATTTTAAGAAAGAGCTAGATCATGTCTGTATTTTGCATTTGGGTATTGAATATTTACATATTGCAATGTAAAACCAATGATGATGTTAGGTTTTATTTTTTTTTTTTTTATTACAAAGCTTCCTGTGGTTAGATATAATAGCAAAAACTTTACTGTATAACTGTTAATACATAGTGGAAGTATAGAAACCCTGTTAATTACATAGGCCTCCAGTATATTTTTGTTTGCCTAAACATTATTCAGATCATTTAGGGATTTATGGAGAAGAGTATGTGGCTAAATGTGTATGTATCCATACATTCTTCATATCCTTTAGCTGTCTGAAAAGACAACATTAATACTGTAAATGTACCAGATAAATACTTAATTAGGCGACTGTAGTATTACAAGTCAGGTTCTGATTTAAAAAGAAAGTTGATTCTTTCTTTTACAGAATGATGATGACAGGCTGTGCCTGATCTGTCATGAGGACATGCAGAAGAGTGGGGGGGTAGTTCAAGAGCTTCACTGTACACACCGCTTCCACAAAGAGGTAAAACATCTTTCATAAGCCAGACGCATTGCATGTCTCCTGTTCACTGTGTTTAAACTTCCCCGACCTTCCCACTGCAAAGGATTCTTCACTCATTCACTCCAATCGCAGCATGTCAGATAGGCTATCAGATCCTTGGTGCATGAAAGCAGCTAATTCCAGGATATGCATGATGTGCAAGGTATGAAAACAATCTGCCTACACCTGAAACTTATCTCTGTGGAAGCATGGAGCACTAAAACAGCTTCCCCCTGGTCTGAGGACTTGACACTTAGCCTACTGATCATGATGTCTCCGTTTGGTGGGTGCTGAAGGCACCTCAGAGGTTGGAGCAGTGTCGGCCCCGCAGTGGCAGTGAAGCAGCGGCTTGTCAGGTGAGGAGGCTCTCGGATGAGAGGAGGAAGTCGGCGGACGGGCCAATCTCCACGGAGAAGGAGCATCACACATTCCGTCGACAACTTTCCCTGCGGAGACATCGCTGATATCATTCTATGGGAAGAGGTGACTCATCGGTTGGATAAATGGAGGATTTGCACCCATGGGCCAGACATCAGGATACTCTCCTGAACATTTACTGCTGTATGGTGTGATGTTCAAGTGTTTAATCTCAGGGCCGTGACTGTGCCTGACCTGAACCTGTAAAACAGCCCCCTGTGGGCCCCATTGCTATGTCAGCTTTGGAGTCTTCACAACTCTTTATCTTTAGTGTCAAAAGCTGAATATAGCAAGAACCATAAATTGTACTTCATAATTGTGAAAGCATTTTAAAAGTTAGAATTTAAAAAAAAAAATCTTTTTTGATGAATATGTGACTCATACATATACATATTAGCTCTACCACTTTTATATGAAATATGGCACATACAGTAGATCCTATTATTTTGTCTCAGCTGCTGTGATTTAGCGCTGTCTTTTAATTTACTGTTTCCAGTAACATTATATACTGTATAGTCTGTGGACCTGTAGGGCGACTTGTTTTTAATGAAGTTTAAAATGATGTGTTTTTATGTTCAATCATAACTTCAGTGTTTGCATTTTATGTTGAAGCAGAAAAGAAAGAAAGTCAATAAATCGCCAAGGAAATGACATCACATGTTTTCTTCTAATAACTTTTTATAAATGCACTCCTTCAACAATACAGTGAATGCACAGCAAAGTAAAACAAGTGACAGCAGTGTCCTCGGGGTCAGGGACAGTGTTGATCCTGTCGTGGATTTGCTTACTGTAGGTCAGCATGTTGGAAATTACCTCCTGACATCAGTGAGGGAAATCAATACTGGCAGAAATCCTAAATAGATAGAACAGATGGAATAATTTCTTTTAAAATGTGTTTCAGTGCATGGACCGGTGGCTGTGGAAGAAACAGACATGTCCCCCATGCCGTGTCCAGGTCTTCATGCTCCTCTACTGGTCTTCGTCCCGTACCAAAATCCCATAATGGTCCTGTACCTACACCTGCCGTGCCTGCATGCCCCCTCCCCAGACCTCCACCACACCTCAGTCCTTCTGTATGAACACCCGCTGCTCCTTGGACAACATGTGAGAATGTACTCGAACCAGTACACAAGGAGGTGACTTTTCTTCTGCCATGGGAGGGCCCCGTGAGAGTTAAGGGCCCCTTATTCAGAGAGAGAAACCATTTATTGCATGATAGGTTTATTTATGTAAGATTAAAATGTTCTGTATAAATAAATGCCCTAATATGAAAGATGTTTCTTTTTGTCTGTATTTTGTTAGCATAAAACAACAATGCATTGAACCTGCAATTTTATAAAGCAAACTTTCTCATTTTCTAATTATCCATTTTTCTACAAACAATTTTTGTGAAACTGCAGCCAGCAGCTTGTTTGCTTAGCTTGGCACAAAGACTTTTGTACGGAGATATAACATGTTAATTGGTGCGCTTCAGAGGTGCTGGAGGAGGATTTAGTTACCCTTTAACCCAAAGCCAGGCTAGCTGTTTCCCTTTGTTTCCAGTCTTTATGCTAAGCTAACCAGCGGCTGGCTGTATAAATTCATATTGTACAGCGTACGAATGAAAGAGTGGCATAGATCTTCTAATCTTGACAAGAAAGCTGAGGAGCTTATTTCCCCAAATGACAAACTCTTCCTTTAAGTCAATCTGGAAATATGCAACTGACATTGGGAAATTGATTTTTAATCAAATATTTTCTAACCTCTTTTTAATCTAAAATGAACAGATACTAAAATAGTCTTTAACTTATTCCATTCTCAGTACTGGAAAGATTTTCGAATCATTCTTGACTCAAACAGATATTCATCATGTCTTTCATTTAAATTTGCAAAACTCACACATCACATCAATGGCATTAAGATAAATCAAAACCTTCTTTAAAGTGACTAAACAATCTTTTAATGCACTACTCTATGTGTTATGTGAATTTTAATTAAATTTACCTTGGTTTATGATTTACTTTATTACTCCTTCTCACCCCTTTTAACAAGCTGTTCAGCTTAAATTTAGTCATTAAATATGTGAAACTTGCTTTTGAGCACCTAATTGCTTTAGCTTAGCCTAAAATGAATCCAAACATTTTTATGTCAAAAATTGAACTGGTTTCTTACATTTAGGTCCATGCTTTTATTTAATCAACTTATTCTAAACTAATCTTGAATCATTACCACTCAAAAATGTCATTGTTTCATTTGAAGACAAACACAGGCATGTGATTATGGCATGATGAGTTCACTCCAGCTTCCTAACGCGAGTGTTCTTTAATGATGCTTCACTGTGAAGACAACAAACACATAATTAATTTCATCACTTTATAAGTGAAACTATTGTCTCTAATTTAAAATTCTTTAACTAATCTAACTTCAATATCACTTCAACAAGTGTAAACCTAGATATTATCTTTAATTATTGTTATCTGGTAACAGAATTTTACACCACTAGGGGAGGTTTTTCCACCCCCCTTTCTGGGTTTTCTTATTCTAGTAGCTTGGTTTCCGCTCCTGTGGATCACATAAAATGTCAGTCAGTCATATCTTGACACTCAAAATTTAAACAATATACACAGTTTCAAAATTTTTCAAAACAATTTGTCAAATTTGTCAATTTGACAATTTGGTTTAAATCGAACAAAGAGGTTAACTGTCTCCATGTTTGCAACACACAAGGAAGCTTGTTTGCTTCTTCTTACCAATTCCCTAGAGTAATGATGTACTACTTAAATGGCAAAATGCTTAAAGAGACAAAGTTTACAATATTCTTGTTACTATAATAACACTGTTTGGACAAAAAGGTACTCTGTAGCTTAAAGTTTCTATTGAAATCATCATAACGGAAAATAAATTTCATTTTGGAATATATTTGCTTTGGACCAAATGATTTCTTCATGCTTAGCAACAAAAAGTTAGTATGATTATCTTTTAAGCTACTGTACTTGACATCAGGGTTTTTAATCTTGGCCCTTTTATATTCTAGCTTCCCTCCCATTTTAGATGGTAATATTGTACTCTTCTATATTCATTTATTTTGTAGTACCATGTTTACGCCAGCATTTGGCATAAACAATAGACACATAGTGGACAAGAATAAATCTAATGATCTTCTGGGGTCATGTGCTAGATAATGTTCACAAAGCTCTTAGTATCTAATTTAATTTAATGAATTTCCAGCTTTATTAACATTAATTTAAGATGATGAGCTTTATATAATTTTGATTATATAAACAAAAACACATGCACTTTATAACAAAAACACATGCACTTTAAACCTTATTACTTTTTTATTCGAGTAAATTACTGAACTTAAAAACTTTTACTCATGATGAAATACTTCACATCTGGTTCCTAATTAGTGTATATTTTTATGAGAATCAATTAATGGGATTGATCAGCTAAGATATGGAAACATGCTTCAAAACATAAAATTTGCACCAAATGAACAAGGTAACCTGATCTGGATCAGCTATCTTTTATTTGGATGTCAAGAATATATTCTCACAAAGTGAAAATGCCATGACTCCACAAGTCGGTCACACACACATCTTTGTTTGGCATGAGAAAAGCAATATTGTTTGACAGCACAGTCTGTGTAGACAATCAACCAAACACCCTCAGTTGGTTGATGACTCGGCGAGCGATGCTCTGCCGCCTCTTTCAGACAGCGTTTCAGGTTAATAGTGGAATCTGCTCCCAGCTCAACAAACTTCATCAGGTCAGAAGGAAAAAGCCTCTCCCCACCCCTGCAGCCTATCTCATAATGAGTTGATAATGTGGAACACTAAATGCACCACAAGTCTAAATTTTCCAAAAAATCATGTGGCAATGAGGTCAACTCCGAACCCTTTTCTGTCAATATTTAAACTTCACATGGCTTCCAGATCTTAGACCAGTAGTGGATATCTAGTTGTTGACCTTTTTAGGCATAGTAGAATATTTTGGAATAACACAGATGCTAAAACACCATATAATTTAAACTGTAATTAACGTATCATCATTCTTTTAAACACTTTACTTGAAATACATGAATTTATTTTGGCTATCCAAGGTCTCTTAATTTGAGGGCTGGAAATTTAAGGTCAATATTGTTTCATACGGTAATCCAAGTCCGTCAAGCTCCTGAAGTTTGCGGATGACACCACAGTCATTGGGATCATCTCTGGTGGGGATGAGTCCGTCTAAAGGTTGGAAATTGACCATCTGGTGACCTGGTGCTGCCAGAACAGTCTAGAGCTCAATGCTCTGAAGACAGTGGAGATGGTCGTGGACTTCAGAAAGAGCCCAGCCACACCCTCCCCCATCATCCTGTGTGACTCCCCAGTTGCCAGTGTTGACTCCTTCCGCTTCCTGGGCACCATCATCTCCCAGGACCTCAAGTGGAAGCTGAACATCACCTCTCTCACCAAAAAGGCCCAGCAGAGGATGTACTTCCTGCAGCAGCTGAAGAAGTTCAGCCTACCAAAGACAATGATGGTGCACTTCTACACCACCATCATTGAGTCCATCTTCACCTCCTCCATCACCATCACTCATCACGCTGCTGCCACTACCAGGGACAAAGGCAGGCTGCAATCTTCCATCTCTTCAGGATGCCTCCAGGACTCTGAGGCGAGCAGGAAAGATTGCAGCTGACCCCTCCCACCCGGGACACAAACTGTTTGGGCAGTTGCTGCAGTCCATCAGGACCAAAACGCCACAAAAACAGCTTCTACCCATCTGCAGCTAGCCTCAACAACAAGGCCGGGGTCCTCCGCTGTCACTCCCCCCTTGCAAATAATATTTAGTAAGTCTCTGCACATGTAAACACTATTTCATTTCATATCATGCACAAACCTGGCATATTGCACACATTTGTTGTAAATCTTTGTTGTATATTTTTATATTGTCAGTTTGTTGCAATACATCTGCACTACACAAACCCAGAATAATGAAAAAGTTCTGCAAATAGTTTTACATTATAACTTGCATTGTCTATTCCATATTTATATATTTCTACATTTATTTATGTCAATTGTATGTTTGTCTACGTGTAGCACCTTATCACCACAGCAAATTCCTCTTATGTATAAAACACTACTTGGCAATAAAGGTGCTTTTTCTTCTTCTTCTTCTTCTTCTTGTCAGGGGTGCTTGTTTCAAGGGATAATACTAGTCAAATGAGAATTTCTCTGGAATAGATTAACAACTTAGTTAACCAATTAAATTCGCAAATGAATGTCCTAAAATTAATTTAAACATTCACTTACTAGTCAACTGCTTAAATCGGTGATATCTGTTGGATTGTGCTAATCATTTCAAAGACATTAACTCATTATAAGCTTAAACCTACCTAGGTTGCAGCATGTTTATCAATCGCCGTTAATAATTGCAATTGAATTTGTCTCTATGATAATGTACGAAGTTCACTAAATATTTGGGCTTACCTAAATTGAAACACAGACTAATTATTTCTAAATAGCTAAATCTGCATTTTACTCTTGAAACAACAATGACCATTGACACCTTTTATGTATTATTCGTTCACATTACATTATGTGAACCTAATTTTTGACATGATAACATTTTACCATCTCATTTTAATTAATGGATTCATGAGAATTAACATTCAGTTGTTTCACTCAAAAACCTTCTTATTTAAATTCAAACAACTTATCACGTTTTGGGCCGCTTGCAACAACTAATTAACGTAATCTCCAAATCTACTCTTTTTACATGGGTATCCTTAATGAGCTTAGCAAAGACCAAATTGAGTATCCTAACTTTTCCTCTAAATATGATACTAATTAAATTGAAAATCTTTTAATTGAAATTAATTTCTGATTGATCACTAATTGATAATTGCTTATATTATTGACAAATTAAAGTGAAAGAAGAATCCCTCCACCTGACCCTAGTGGCTGTCAGTATTTAATCAGTAAGGTAGAGTTTCAGTTTCATTGATTTTTTCCTTCCTTTACTCCCATAGGTTGCTCACAAGGGAGCGCTGTCGCCTCACAGCAAGAAGGTCGTGGGTTCAAACCCCGGTTGCCCTGGCCTTTCTGATTATTGAAGACTGTGGTTTAATTTTACGTTTACCTGTTTGAACAGTTAGTCAGGTCCATGCAAGATCTAATACTGATGGTGTTTTTTGATTGAGCAAATTGGAGAAAACTCATGGATTACATGCATTTAACAGTTGCCCTTGTGAGCATCCATCCATCCATCGTCAACCGCTTATCCTGCATACAGGGTCGCGGGGGGCTGGAGCCAATCCCATCTTACATCGGGCGAAAGGCAGGGTACACCCTGGACAGGTTGCCAGTCCATCACAGGGCCACACATAGACAAACAACCACTCACACTCACATCCACACCTAAGGACAATTTTGGTGACACCAATTAACCTAGCCTGCAAGTCTTTGGATGGTGGGAGGAAGCCGGAGCACCCGGAGAGAACCCACGCAGACACGGGGAGAACATGCAAACTCCACACAGAACCCATGACCTTCTTGCTGTGTGGCGACAGTGCTAATCACTGCACCACCGCGCCGACCTAGGCTAACTGTCTCTCTTATTAAAATCCTGAATGGTAATTGCATAAACTAATCAATAAATTAAACACTCAAGTTTCTTAAAGTGAACTGGAATATGGACTCTTTGATCCAAACAAAAGATGACTAAATGCCACCATTAGGGGGAGTTCCTTAGTATCTGTCTCATCTGTATTAATTAAAACAAATCTAGATAGTTAAATCTTTCTTTAACCTCTTAACATTCCTGTAAAATTCATGCTAAACGCCTATTCAAGGCATATCCAAAGTAAATTGAATGTAGTTCTTGAACCATTTGGAGTATATGCATGGTTTTGGGCTTCTCTGAAAGAGAACACTCTGGAGTGTCTAACCCAAAAGTCAGAATGATTATAGGTTTAAACACACTACAACTAATATATCTTTCATATATAAATGCTTGCTAACAAGTACATGCAGACAACTAAAGCTGAGACTTATTAGCTGGAAAGCACAGTAGGACCACAGGATAAAGCATTACCTAGTCCTAGTTTACATTTCATACCAATACCATGAAAAATTACTATTTTACACAGGTTTTTATAAGTGTATGTCTTAGAGTATTTTTTCTAAAACAGCACCGCCCCTTGGCGGCAGGCGGCTGCTGCTGCATCACCAGTAGCTCGACGCAGATGTGACGACAGTATCTGGCATAGTCAGAGATCATATGAAGTTGACATATCAACTATGTGTGTGTGCACATACCGAAAGCTGCCGCGAGGACCTGACGTTGGAATGTTAAGAGGTAAAGTAACGTTAGTGTTTCTAGAGGGAGTCTGACTTGAAACTGAAAGCTACAACAATTTAGAACCTATGTTAGACTAATTAAAGGAAGTCTTCCTTGCCATAATAAGGTGAATAATTACCTGGTTTTCCAGTTATTTTGGAAATGTTTTGCTCTAAAACTGCTCACTTAAGTGAGTAATCTTGATAAATATAAACCAAATAAATGGAAATCAGCGTTCTGAGTAGTAAGTTACTGCACAGACATCAGACCAATAAACTTTCGAAATGGTCCAACCTTAACAGCTTCCAAGAGCTGATAGTTTGAACTTTAACAATGTCAGCCGACTACAAACATGGCTGACAACACTTAAAGGTTCAGTGTGTAATATTTCTGAGGCTCTATTGACAGAAATGCAATATAAGATCCATAACTCTGTTTTCAATGCTGTATAAAGACCTTACATAATGAACCATTATGTTTTTATTACCATAGAATGAGACATTATTATCTACATAACCACGGGCACACCCTCCAATGCAGGTTGCTGTATTTTGTCCTCATGTTTCTACCATAGCCAACAAGGACAAACAGCGCCACAGAGCGTGTTTTGTCATCAGGGCGTTCTTCTTCTGCTTGTATAATTCCGGTAGTGTAGACGCCCATCACTAAAGTAACATTGAATATGTACAAAGGAAATAATAATAAGTCTGAGTAGTCTTCTCGTTTATTAGAAGGGAAGTGACATTTGGACAAATGAAGAAGCACAGGTGTTATTTAGCAGGAGAGCCAACAGCATGTGGATCTTTATACCATGAAGCCAGACCAGTTGGGACAGATACTGACAGCTGACGGCCGAAGGCCGAAATCACAGATGCTTTGGATTTTCCGGAAGGAAGGCTATAATGTGGGACAGATGTTTTCAAAGCGGTGCTGAAGTTGTCTGTTTTCTGCGGCACAGGTAAATAAGTTTGTCAGACTTTAGGGATGCAATAAGATATATAACAAGACCGTTTGCCTATCAAGTGACCACTAATAAATACTTTCCAAATTTGCATTAAAGATTAAAAACAAGCATGTTTTTTTTGGATATTGCTTCCCCACTGTGCACACAAATGTGTAATTTGTACTTTCAATTAATGCTAAATGCCCATTAAAAACGTTTCACCATTTTAAAACAAGCTGAAATGATGGCTGTCAGTACTACTTTGTGTTTCTGTTGTATTTTAAAAAAAAAAACGTTTTGGTAATATTTGCATGCTTATCTAATTAAGCAAAGCCAGAGGAGCCTTAATCCTCACCTGACAACGCATTCGTAAACTTCATGTATTATGTGGTTTATAATGGGACTGTGGTGCAGAAACAGTGAGGCTTACATTGTCCTGGTATCTGTCAGTGGTCATACTTGATGCACTAGATGTGATAGTTTTTGAGAATTTCTTCATTTTCTTTGGTATGTTAGTCCAGATGAGCCAACACTCCCAATATGAAAAATAATGTATTACAGGAGTATAAGACATCATGTAGCACTTCATTTCTTCATGTGGCTGTTGTTTATTAATGAACAAGTAACAATAATATTCAGAAAAACATTTGGTGTTACATAATTTCTTAATATATCTGTCTAAAGAAATCTCATTTCTTGACTGGCAATCTCTTCTCTCACAGACCACAGCTTTGTCCTGTCTCAGGCACCATTGCTATACAACTTGCTTGATAGGGGAGGGGGGTGCCATTCGGAATCCTCACCACTAGATGTCACTAAGACTTACACTGAACCTTTAAATACATTAGGAAAGGGATTGCTCTGTTTTGGTAGGATTTATATTCATCATCTGTTAAACTTGCAACTGATATATATCTGTTTCTGAAATGTACAATATTTTACTAGCTAATTATGATTTTTAAGCCATCCTAGGTGCATATGCACATTTGGGATGTTCTTCTATATTGTTGTATATCCTTACACCTTGAAATAATTAACAACTCTCTCTAATATCTATAATATATGTAGGTGAACCTCGTAACAAATAAAAAAGCTGAGGCAGGGATTACAAGACTCCATGTTATGGCTACTGTTGGAGGACAGACCAGATGTAGTACCAGAGTTTTTTCCACGTCAATCAATGGCTGAATGCACTGCTCAGGTATTCTATTTCATCTGAACACATTGCCCACACAAATATGACTAATGGTGGCTTAAAATCAGCAAAGCATCCCTCAAATGATGTTATTTTGCTTTTGTAGTGTTTTCAATTCATTCACATTCGTCAAATGTGACGTTTAGATTCTAGACATCATCTGGCCAGTAGAAGGGGAAAAGGAGGATGATGATGAATGCCCTGTTGCAAACCAATGCAGAATTGCTGGCTACCTATGGCAGTTTGTGGAGACAGGTATATTTGTTTTTGTGCTCTCTTGTGGAGATCCACCTGTTCATTATAGAACATGTTGAAAGTAATAATTTATGACAATATGAGGTTTGGACAATCAGGTGTGTCCAAACCTCTGACTGGTAATATGTATTGTATTTTTTTTATTATTTTTATTTTTTTTGTGACTGCAACATCCATGTTATAATCGCAATATACCATGGGGTTTTTTGTGGCATCACCTGACATGTTTACATTCATGTAAAGTGTACAATGCATCTGTATTGCAAACTGAGTCTCAAAATCACAATTTCAATTAATATTTGTTCTCCTCTCTTCCATTGGTGTGTAATTATTGACCTCCATTCCAGTGACTGAAGACAAACTGAAGCAGTTAGTGAAATTCTGGGTGGGCTGGTAGCTGCCCATGCAGGACATGCAAGTGGAAGTTGTGCAGGCAGACCATCCAAGATCATCCACCTGTTTCCACATCCTGCGCTTGCCTGGTCACTACACCAGTTATGAATAGTTCTGTGATCATCTGTAAGGTTGCACTGCAACTAATGATTGTGGGTTTGGACTAATATGAAGTCTATGAGTTCTGCTGCAAACCATTGTTAGGGCACACTGCACAACATCACCCATGCATGTTTAGAAAGTGTGTAGGTTGTGACATAAATAGTCAGTAGATGGCAGCCTTTTTTGTGTTCTATGAGGAACAAGTTCTAAATTCAGGAGGTCTCTTAATTTTCTGGTTTCCTTTAAATTGAAGCTTTACATTGATTCAAGTATCAAATGTTTATGGGCTCAAAGCCCATGAAGGATTCTCAAAACATAACTATATAATTAAAAACTTTTGAAACTTTTTTTTAAAGACAAAAAAAAGCTTGAAGTATAAAAGTGCATGCTGGCTGAAAGTTGCTGTCAAGGCGAGATTAGAGTCCTCTCTTGGCCATGTTCTGTGCTCTCCCTGGACTGCTATGTCCCATTCTTTGCTGAAAATCTCAAAGACAGTTAATGGAGTCAAAGTCACTGATGTACTAGACTGGATTTGGTGAAGGTAAAGTTTTGTCAGTTTGAAGAAAATAAGAAATGTTGTAAAAGGTCACTGATAATAATCAAGTCAAAGTTGAGCATTCTGTTATGTACCTTAAAATTAATACTTGAATGGATATCTCAGAGTATAATAAAGTTGAACAAAGAATGTACCAGTTTAAACTTTGAATGTGAGAATTAGAGGGACTGACTTTATTGCCATCTGTCGTCATGACAACGTCACTTTTGCAAATCTACAAAACGTGACTATTTCAAAGTCATGTACATACTATATGTATATATAAATATATATCCAAGTACCAACACCAACACCAACATAAAAAGGCTGTTATGGTTTGGACTGATAGAAACAGGTCAGGAATCAGAAGGGCTGTGGCTGTAGCCTACAAGCATACTTAAACATGTGCAAGCAGTTAAAACACATACTGTATCTTTGAGTGTAATTGTAAGTTGTAAATGTATGTAAGCAAAGAATAGATAAAGAATGGGAATAAATGTTTTAATTTCAGCTATCACACAAAATTCAAACACACTGCAGTAATAAGTTTCCTTCATAGTCTTTAGTCCTTGCTTGTGAACTCACCCATCCAGCTAATACAATATTTGTATAGGGTTGTTTTTTCTGTGGGATATGAGAAGCAGTTCATAGAGATAAGCCTACACATAGCCAATGCTGTGCATGTACTCTAGTGCAGCTAAGTATCTGTCAACTCCCATGCATGTTGAGGGTCCCATTGGGTCCACAGCACCACGAAGTCCAGCCAGGTCCTCAGGTCTCAGTGGGCAATCGCACTCTTGGACATGGACACCACAGTTGGGATCAGAAGGTATAAGGCCACTACTCTCCCAGTGAATCAGAGGGATGTGCAAATCCTGTAAGTTAAAGAGGTGGTATTATGCTTTTGGGCTTTTCCCCTCTCCTTTATTGAGGCTGTTAGGGAGAATTAAACATTTGTAAGACCATTGGTGACCTGTAACTTCAGATTAAGACAATCTAACTAATGTTATATGTAGCTTAGGACAGCAGTTAGCCTATTTTTTTTTTTTTAAAGTTTCTATTATTTAATTCATCTTTTAGTTTCATAACATATTTATAGGCCTTCTTGCTATGTGTGAGCTCAACCAGCAGAGGCCATTCTAACCCCTTCTGTGGCGCCAACAGGCAACAAGGTTTTGACCTTTTGACTTGCGTTTATATCAAAGAAAAGGCTGGCACTGCTACCAAAGGAAGCTAATCAGTGAGTTTGAAGGGTGTGCAGAACTTCACCTGCCTTCCAGCTTCTCTTTCTATGGCACTATAGCTGTTAAAAACTCTCAGCTTCCACCATCCACTGCTACCCCTTCTGTATCAAAACAAAACTCTTCCAAAACATATCTGTAGAGTTGTATACTTTTTTATTTTCCTTTGCAATTTTGCCAGTGTAATATACTTATGTTAGTTAAGCAGATTAAATATTTTTAAATAAGCCTGTAGTTATCATTAGTTATGTAGGCGTACTTATGTGTGAAACCTGCTAGCATTAATGTGAGTCATAAAGCATCTCCTCTGGCTCTGGGATCTTTTACTGCCTTTTTTGGGTTTAGTTCTGTTTGATGAACCACCAGGGAAAGGCCATGTTCTATATGTTTAATCCAGCCTGTTGTTCTCATTAGTTCTGTAGGCCTACTTATGTGTGAAACCTGGTGAGCATTCATGTGAATCAAAAATGATATTTGCCATAGCAATACTATATCAAGTATCGATATTTTATTATATAAATTGCAGGTGGGACTTTTAACTTTTTGGTACTAGAATAATAAAATCTATTGCTTTTTTAGTCCAAGAAAACTTTACAGGACCATATAGAGGACTGAAAAAGTGGTGATTCCCACCCCTACTGGTGATGTGAGCCTATGAATAGCATAAAAAATGCTGGCAGGACAAAGAAGCACACCACTTCTTCCTCCAGCACCATAAAAGGGCCCTGTTGTCACATTAGGATTTTTAGATCATGAAATATGGTAAACGACACCTTGTAATTGTGGCTCTGCCTTTGTGCATAAGGATATTGAAATACATGGGTGACCTGTACTACACACAGCTCCAACCTGTCCACCCTACCCGGGTCACCCACCTTTAATACCAATCACCTGCACCCTCTTTACAGACAACATCTCACATGTGTAGCCTGATACTTGAGGCTTTCAACGTTAAAAGAAAATAATTGTTTTTAAAGCATGTCTCTTTTTGTATTGCCATCCATCCATCGTCAACCGCTTATCCTGCGTACAGGGTCACGGGGTCTTTTTGTATTGCATTGGATGTATTTAAAGGAATTACAGACAAAACTTGAGTATTGGGGGGAAATCTGCTGTTGGTCATCGTATCTGTTTCTTGGAGGCTGATATGTTCAAGTAGCACAGAATTAATTTATAATGTTTTTATTATATACATTTATAATATGCTTGAGCTCCTTCTCCTTGTGTGCAATGACAATTTTATGAAGTGAAAACTAGTGGAGGCCTATGGAAATGAAGACCATTGGATCTGAACACTCGACATGGGCCTACAAATGTTAAAGCTTTTTAACTGATTTTGCCACATGCACACACAACCCACGCCACACTTTATGTAAACAAGATTAGTGAACATTATTTAAAGTATATCAATAAATTCAGTAAAACACCACAAGGGGAATATGTTGCTCTCAGGAGGAGGCTGTATCGGCACAATGACATCCTTGCTCTGGCTAAATCTACATCTGTCCACTGCAGAGGCTCTAACCACAACCTGTTGGAGGAACTAGTATAAATTACTACTAGTATAATATATCATTAACATTATAACAACATTTACAGTAGGTTTCAGAGCCCTGCTTCACTGTACTGTTGTACATAAAAGCCTACTGTATATGACACGTGTATTAAAAGACATAAGTTGACATCATCCTTATCCACAAAAAAAGTGCCACATTTACAAGGTGTGGTTACCATAAATCATGATGTAAATATCTGAAAGTGACAACAGGGCCCTTTTATTGTGCTGGAGGAAGGAGTGGTGTTCTGCTTTGTCCTGCCAGTCCAGCATTTATTTGAAGAGTGAATGATTGTTCCCCGCAACCCTGTACACAGGATAAGCAGTTGATGGATGGATGGATGGATGGATGGATGGATGGATGGATGGTGATAGTAGGTGACTGGGGCCAACCTTGCTACTATCATCAGTCCTTAAACACTTAAGCACAGGCTCACATCCTCCAGGCATTGGGGAAACTCTGGGAGGTCCTGAGATGAGTACCAGGAGAAAAACTAAATGACTCAACTTAACATTTTATTTTACTTTACACGGTTATGAACAGTATAGAACACGGCCTTTCCCTGATGGTTCATCAAACAGAACTAAACCCAAAAGAGGCAGTAAAAGATCCCAGAGCCAGAGGAGATGCTTTATGACTCACTAGCTAGCTAACTAAAGCTAACTAACTAGCAGGTTTCACACACAAGTAGGCCTACATAACTAATGAGAACTACAGGCTTATTTAAAAATATTTAATCTACTTGACTAACATAATAAGTATATTACACTGGAAAAATTGCAAAGGAAAATAAAAAAGTATACAACTCTACAGATTTGTTTTGGAAGAGTTTTGACCCTCAACATGCATGGGAGTTGACAGATACTTAGCTGCACTAAATTACATGCACAGCATTGGCTATGTGTAGGCTTATCTCTATGAACTGCTTCTCATATCCCACAGAAAAAACAACCCTATACAAATATTGTATTAGCTGGATGGGTGAGTTCACAAGCAAGGACTAAAGACTATGAAGGAAACTTATTACTGCAGTGTGTTTGAATTTTGTGTGATAGCTGAAATTAAAACAATTATTCCCATTCTTTATCTATTCTTTGCTTACATACATTTACAACTTACAATTACACTCAAAGATACAGTATGTGTTTTAACTGCTTGCACGTGTTTAAGTATGCTTGAGTGATCTCTGCTGGTTGAGCTCACACATAGCAAGAAGGCATATAAATATGTTACGAAACTAAAACTATTTAATAATAGAAACTACGAATTACAGATTATCCAGAGATACCCAGACCCATATGTCATAACCCGGCTCAAAGGTCATGACAAATACGGAGAGGACACGGAGGATTGCCAAAAGTAAACATATTTATTGTAACAACTTAAACAACTAAACTAATAATCAACAATGTAGAGTGTGTTAGTCAGTGACATCAGTGATGTAGATGTGGATGAGTGATAAGTACGGAGCTTGGGTGTTGAGGAGTGGTAACAAACATAATGTAACAAAACAAAGGTGTGCTGCTGCTGCTGCTGCTGCTGGCAGGAGTGGGACCAGATCAGAGAGAGAGCTCAAGAGCAAAAGCGCCAGAGTATTTATCCTTCCACAGCGTCTGGCCCAGGTGCTCCCAATCTGGTTTACGGGCGCTGATACCTTCAGGGACAAAAGGAGAACAGTAAACTGCCCAACACCACACAGTTAAACAACCCAACTAGGCAGGGCCGTCACAGGAACATGCTGCTGTAAAAACGTGAAATTACCTACTAGAAATAGGAATAGACCTACTTTATACACCGAGTATGTATATGTAACTAGAAATATAAATTTTTTAAATCTTTATATCTACAGAGGAAGTGCAACTCTGTTTAAACGTTGTAAAAATGACATTTCTCTGCAAATCCTGTATTTATAACCAGAGCTTTTATCAATGAACATTACACTCAGTCTTGAGCCCAATAACAAAACAGGTTAGATGATTTATATGCAATAAAAGCAACTGTATGGTGCACATTTTGAGCATTAACCCCTTTCCTGCATTCTGAAGTACAGATAGAAAGAAACACAAACATAGTCAGAAATTATAATCGGACATACACCATCAGAGACAGTCGCAAATATTACTAAATAGATCTGTAGATGAAAGTTCATATGATATCATCTGGTCCTATGGAGATGCTGGTGGCAAGCATTGTCTTACACATTGCTCCAAAATCTTCCACAGGTGGGTTGAGATCTGGTGACTGTGAAGGCTGTAGCATTTTATTCATATAATATTTATCCTCAGCAAACCACTCAGTTAGCCCAGGTGTACCAAGCATCTGCATTTGATGTATCTGTTTCCTTTAATTTGTCCTCGTATGTATGCTTATATGTCACTTTTTATCACAATCAGCTCTTCTCTTACCGACAGTGACATCCCCTTGGATCCATATTGTTATTGTT